GAGAGAGAGGTGAGGAAAGCAAGAGGAAGAGCTAGTCGGATGAAAAGCAGTGAGAGGAAAGCAGAGCGAGCGAAGTTGGACAGAGAAGGAGAAAGAGGGAGAGTGAGAGAGAGAGAGAGAGAGGAAAGCAGAGGTCGGACGAAGCAAATGCGCGCTGCAAGGAGAGAGGGACAGAGGGATGCGCCGTTCTGTCCTGTGGGCTGCAAACGTAATTTGCTCTCTGGATATGCAGTCCCAGCGGTTCTCACCGTGGCTGGTAATAACGCTGCCTGTCACACCGCAATATTTGATATTTTGCTTTTTGTGCGTGGGACGGGATTGTCAAAATTTTCCCTTTGTGTCGATAGAAATTCGGGTAATTGAAACGCGCGTACGTGCTGCGAGACACTTGGATTAATAGAGGGGGAAGGGACGCCTTGAGCTATCCGTTAAAATCTTTTGCGTTCGATATGAGCGTTAATTGCTCGCATGTATTATTCAGTTCGCTGAGAAACTGTTCTCTTTCTCTCTCTCTCTCTCTCTCTGAGACAACTCGCTTCGGGGAAGCATCTCTCGAAGACGAGGCTGTGCACGAGCCAACGTAGACCTTCGCACAGCGTGCACCTCACTCGTGCGCCCGTTGTACACAACGGATTAGGCGATAGTAATCCGCAGATCCGACCTCAAAGAGCGCCACCCGCTGCGAGTTTTCCCAAAACCTGTCGTGAAATCCGTCTGACCGCTTTATAATGGAAGCGAAAACGGCTACTGTGGCCTGCCAAACAAGCTTCAGTGTCGAATCGACAGGATCCGTGAATTCCGCGGTGGGGCTCGCTCCAGAAACGGAGCTGCACCCCCGGAGTCTCGTCTTTTATTCCGAGCTCTGTCTCGATTCGCACCTCGAGGAGAGTTTTTACGAGAGAGAAAAAGGTGGGGGGAGGGGGCGAGGGAGGCGGAGAAACCGGAGAGAAAGGAAGACCTCAAGAGGGAAAATTGGAGCGGATTTTCGAGCTTGAGCCGCCGAAACGAAATTAGACTTATCTCGATCATCGCGGATCCGTGCGGACCAGCTGCGCTCGCGGTGGTACAAGAATGAACGCGATGAGCGGTCCTTCCTTTGTCGCTCGTCGCTCCGTACGCTCGCGTCAGATTTGCAAACAGTCGGAAAGAAGCGTGCATTCGAGGTCACGACGTTGCTCCTTTCGACGGCCGGACACGCGCCATTGTCAACGAGCGTTCGGAGCCGATGGCGGATCTAGGAGCAGGCCACAATGCATAGTCGGAGGAATATCAAATGGGAAAATCTGGATACACAGAAGCCGAATTTACGGTAATTTCGGTACGATCCGCTTCCGATGGACCGAGGATGATAGGAGGAGAATAGCGAGCTTTTATACAATTTGAAACGTCGCTTTGTCGCAGTGTCGAGTGTCCTTTATTCGAGAGAATGCGGCGATCATGCAGACGAGATTTCCCTCGACGGCATGAAAATATCAAATAATCACTTGACTTAATTGCCGCGTCATTTATTCGAAAACATTCGAGTAACTTATGCGACACTGTAAGAAAAATAAGAAAACAGAGATTTACTAATTTTCTTGAAGAAAATTGAACTATAATTCGTCGAAAATACATAAATTTTTCTTTACTTAGATTACGTGTTTCATTAGAAAAGGGTTTTCTTTTTCTCTTTCTTCTCAATAAATTTATATTCTTTTAATTTCAAACTATTACAAATTTCCAATACTTTCTATTTTCGTAGATCATCTCTGAGAAAAATGTATGTTTCTGCTAGAAACCAAGTCATTGATACAATCGTAGTAAATTATGTTATTTGAATATAATATTTAAGTACAAAGTACATCAATCTGATGTTAATACATAATTGGACGTTATCCTGCAGCCACTGTCGAAACATTAGAAATATTTTGCTTTTCCAATCTCAATAATTGAAAGTCTCTCGTGTCCCTACGCAACATAAAATTACACGCGCCGTAGCTCCCGTTTCTTCTCAAAAAATCGTTAGTCAGCCGTCGGTCCTTCAGTTAAGTCGAAACGTTTAACGGACGGGAGCAGCTACCTGGCTTTACCTCGGGACCTCTTAAGAGTTCGCTGCCTGGGAGATCGCTGTCTTTCTTTGTCTGGAAAATTAGCTAAAACTAGAGCTGAGTGCACCGGGGAAGCGGAGCCGGGACAAAACGGCCACGGGGTAAACGCGTCGATCTAACACGGACCGATCCCTCGCTCTTCTGTCGAGATATTTATCGCGGTAAATGGGATCCGGTTAAATGCAACTCGTGATCTGATTTCTGCGGGTCCTAAAAGCTTTGCTCGCCCGCCCGACCGGCCCCACGAGGGCCGCGAGCCAGATTCGTAACGGAGATTGAGCGCCGATGAAAATGGCATTGTCGAAATTGTTCGCGGGATATTCGCGCGCGCGTGTGCCGACACAATGCGCCCGAGAAGGCACGTGGGAATATCAATCTTCGCGCAATCTTCCAGAAGTCAAATGAAAGTATTTTTATAATTAATTCCACTGATGACTTGCCGATTTTCTCTTGCCCCTGTCTGTTTCGCGTAGGCTCGAAGTTTCAAGAAACGGCCGTGGCGTTTAAAAGACGTCACCAACTTTGTATCGGCATTGACAACACATTCGGTTCGTATTGTTAGTGCTTTTCAAAGTGCGATTAAGGTACGACTATCGAAAAGACAAAGAAATTTTGATGCATTGATTACAATTTCTAACGAATTAGCAAGTTAGAAGGATAAATAACTAATTTCGGTCAATATTATTAATTATGACTGCCGTAGTTCCTTACGAATTAATGACGATTATATTTTAATTAAATCCACTAACGAGTCTGTAAACTGTGTAACATATATGTACGTACAATATGTGCAGTTTCTATCGCAAATTAGGTACTAAACATTATCCTTGAAAATTATGATAAAACGCTAATTTTTTCAAGTCACTTTATCATAATAATTCCGAGACAGAGGGAAAAAGTTACTTGCTCCTCTGCCATCTACTAAATACAAATAGAGAAAAGTATATTGTAGGTCTATTGAAGAAAGATACGAAGGGCTACAGAAAGAGAAGGAAAACGGAAGAAAGACACCTTTACTGTCCGGATGATTAAAGATTTTTTTATTTTGCAAGTTCTTTTCTAAAGCCACGCATGGACGATGAGTAAACGCAATATCGACACCGCCACCATTGTGATTCATCCTTGCACCGAGCGTGGTTCTTTTTCGCGAGGTGCAATGCATACACGCGCAATCCGATTACAGCGGTGGCGCATTTTCGGCGACACGGGCAGGAGAGCCGCGCGCGAACGAGCACGCGGGGGTCTTTTCTATTGCGGAAGAGAAAACGCGCGCGCGAGCACTCTCGTCTCCGCAACGTATAATTTGCCTCGATTTAGCCGGATCGATTTTGAGTAGCTACTGTTTCGCTACAGGCGGATATCTTTTGTGGCGCGGTTTTGTGGGCGTACACTTCCCCCCGGGCTAAAACGCCAAATGGTAACGACGATACGCGGAATCGAACGTGGAATGGGAAACGGGGATTCGTTTTGTGCGCACGGTTTTCGGCCGGCCGCGCCGCTCGAAAAAAGAAACAATTTTCAACCCGGATCCGCCATTCTGGTAACCGGAAAACGTCCACTTCTCGTCTCTTTGTCGCGAAGCTAATTTTGGGAGTTTGCGGAAGGAAATAACGGTAAAACGGAAAAAAATCGCTCCGAAACGCTATAAAACTGTTTTCGCTAAAATAAATTCCCGTCTTATCGTACGAGCGATTTTGCAACGATATCGAATGTGACCGCGGATTGGCTCAAGACAGCTTTGCTAAGTAATTTCACGAGAAACGACAACGTTCGATTCTAAAATTGACAAGAATACCATTGGCCCTGATAATAATAATCGCGAATCTGCAAACGTGATATTTGTTTTTAAACGAGAAAATTTATTTCAACTCGCAACATTTCTGTGAGTGGCGTCGGGATTGTATGGACGTATAACGCTATAATATACATACGTGATCATCAATATAACGCATGATATTACGTAAATATACTAACACTTTGACCACAGCAAACAGAATAAACGAGGCTTTATTTTATTGTATCGCACTAAATTTTAAATGATGTTCACGTAGGAATAATATTTTTGTTTGTTAAATCGTCGCGATAAACGCAGTTGCGAAATAAATACTTTGCTCTGTCGGAAAAGTCATTTCGAACGCGGCGAATCCTCCCCCGGTCTTCCTCGAGACCCGCAAAAACTTGGGCAAAGCCACGGGCGTCTAATGTCGCGGATAAACATTGATTTTCGCGTGGCAACAAGTCGAAAGTTAAATTCATCAAATTTGCAATTTACATCAGTTTTAATCTGCGAGCAGAAACGAGTTACTACGAGCCGAAACGGCCGTTGCAGGTAGATACAGGGATGAATCGCAGACAAAAGCGGCGCGTAAGGTCCCGCGGATCCGCGGGGCATCCAGAAGCGTAGGAGGCTTGGCGTAAGCGGTAAGCTTTACCTCATTTCTGGCAATTACAGGGGATGCCAGAATCCGCCGCAAGAATCAACCCACTCCGGCCGCGTGTGTGTACCATCCACCTCTGTTTAGGTGAACCACCCCTTCGCGGTGCGCGTGTGCGCGCGGACTCGCTCGGTCCTGTGTTCGTCCCTTACACGTACTCGCTCGTACACACGCGGGGACACGCGCGCACACAGCGGTATCCATCGTGACGCTCACACGTACACCCTGGTGGGGACGGGACGCGCGTACGGCGTCATGGGAGCCCGTCCGCCACCCCTCAACCCCTACGGCTACCCTGTCCAAGAGAGAGGGTTGCCGCGAAAACCCGTCGGTTGAGCACCGCTGATCTCGCCATGTTCCCGGATCCCTGCCGCGATTGGTGGCGAATCCGACGAACGGCGTTGCCGATTCGTCGCTCCAGGCCACGCCTCCGCGCGGCTCATGCCCGGACCACCTCTTTCACCGGCGAGTAGTCTTCGGGAGTAGTTGTGTACAGCTGCGACAAAGGCCACCCCGGTAGACGACGGCCGGCTAGTCCTCGTTGACACGACGCACGCTCAAGAGCTTCGACCTTAACGGGAAAGGTTCCATCTAGCCATCTGGCGCCTGCGAAAGTGAATGAGCGAGGACGAAATCGGACGACATCCTGTCAAGAATTTGGGGAATACGCTTCCTTCCGTAAACAATTTCACTTGTCCTGAGCTAAGTAGATGGATGCGGATCGTTCGAGGACTCGTTCAAAGACTTGGACAATAGTCTGGTGTTAATAAACAATAGCGAAAAGGTAATCACTCTTGAGAACTGACTGGTATCGGTGATGAACATTTCGGAATATTTCGATGAAAGAACATTCGTCTCTCATTGTTATTTGAATGATTGTTAGAAGAGATAGATCAGTTCCGTGTCGGCAGAAAATGTTGATAAAAGTGCCACGATCTGTACCATGATTTGTGAAGAGGTGACGTGTGATTACGGAAATTCACTGTATGAAATTTAGCTCCGTATATTGAATGGGTTTCGTCCAATTTTCCATCGAACATTGGGGTGAACATATCAAGTTTTCCCGCGATTGTCCGAGCCAATAACACGATCATGTTAATCGATTGACACAGACCAAACGTTTCGATAGTTGTAACAAAGATCTACAAAAATTCAAATCGGATGTCCGTGGGCACCTAAGTTATATAAACGTATACGTATACATTGCTCTGGAACTGACCAACTTGTCAAGCAGCGCATCATGTTGCCCGAAATGCGCTTCACGGTGAAGGACACACGTGGCAAAAAGTTTTGTCGTGCGACTCGAGAGCTTTAGTACATCTGCAAAGTCGCCCGCAAAATTTTTTACCAGCGAGGGTGGTGGTCAAACTCGAAACAGTCTTCGGGAAGAGTTCAGCGAACGAGTTTCCAACAATGGATTCTCAGCAGCTCGTGGACACGGCCTCGCAGAACAGTCAGGACATCGTTTTACCGAAACCAGCCAGCAGTACGCCACGACACAGCATCGACGCGATCCTCGGATTGGCCAGCCATAAAAGGGCTCATCAGGAAATGGAGGACACCAGTCGCGACACGCAGGAAAATACTGGTACCAATTCATTCCTCCTATAACCTTTATTGGAGTAATAGTCTCCCGAAATATTTTTCTTACGCTTCTTCAGAAATTATCTTTACGGGGGAATCGAAATTTTGGCCCTGCTTCAAACTTTTATTTTCCGCCTTTGCAATGTTTCAAAATAATGATAGCTTCTCGTTTAAAACGTTCGAACATTTAATATTTCAAACGTTCAAGAATTAAATGCTGATTAAACTGTATCGATACATCGAAAACTTGTGATTTGTCAAAATTTAAGACAAAACTTGTGTAACGTTATACACATTCGTGATATTCTTAGATTCGCACAACTAAATCTATATACAAATATAAAGATTTTTTCTTAGCGCTTTTCGCAAAATTCGCAAAAGACTTTGTCGCTTTCTCGGACCGTCGGATTGAAGCGCGCGCACTTCATGCGTTAGTTTCCTCGGCATTTCTCCTCCTAAGACATGCAAAGCATCGATTTCTAAATTATAAAATACGTTACGCTGCTGAAAAACCCATTACAAATGCTTTCGAAATCCATTAACGATGCAGCTTCGATCGTCCAATTACTTTCCTTCGCTGCTACCCGTCTATGATTTATTAGTCGCTATCACATCATTAATCACCTATTCATTACCGTGTTCGGCTGCTAATTAAAAATGTATCATACAGGTTACAATCTGTTTATTAATTATTCATTAAGTAATTAATTTTCAATTTCTTTCCAATCTACAAGATCTTGAATCGCTTGACTTTGGGCGCGTTTAAGAACAAGAATGCTTCAAAGTAACGTTCGGTCGGATGTATTCAGATATAAACTTGTGGTATCACTGCCCCAAAACGAAAAATCAATAGCGCGCGTTAATAGCTTAATTGATAGAAAACCTAATTGAATTTCGACCGACGGCCGTGTGTAGTTTTCCACGGGGTCTGATCATTTTTTCGCATTTACGGACTAATTCGATTAGCAGACTAAACTGTTCCGCTGTCCGTCTGTTGAATCTTGCATCCTGCCGAACAGACACGATCAAGCGCCGCGAGTTCGCTTTGCTATCCTGTCTGGCAGTTGCGTTACGGCCAGTAATGCAGTTTGATCGGGTTTCGATTAATTATCGCCGGGGTCACGTTTGATCGATGCACATGTCCTCTGTATCCCGAGGGCAAAATTTAAGAAAAATAACGGAGAGATGTACGTGATAGAATCGTGGGAATGATTTGGACGCACGAATAAGTGGCGCAAAGCAATAATTGTTCGATAATGAAATTCAGCAGCGATTATCAATTTATCACAAAGCAATGGAGATTAAATAATTATTAGAATATTACTGTAAAACAGCAGTTCTATTGACCTTAACATTGGAAAATCATTGCGCTGCTTCACTCAGCTAGGCGCATGTGCTACATATAATTTTATATGCACAATGTAAAACTATAGTAGAGTTTCAGCATTAGAAGATTTCACAGTTTTTCCTTTGCGAGATTAAATCTATCTCCACACCGACCGGTTCTCCAACAAACGCAAGTGTAAAAAGGAGATATTAATAACTATCTCAAATCAAAATGGAACAGAGATGTAACGCGGCATTTGCAATACGCATGTCTTACAATTGACTGAAAGTTGTAACCCAATGAAATAACGTGTACCAGCATAGATAGATAAGTGCAGATCTAGATAATAATTATATTCGTTGCGTGATTTTCCACCGCACTGATGAAATCAATTTGCTGCACACTACTTCTTCACCTTCTCACGAGACATTTTATGCGCCGCATTATTTAATTTGCGCAGTATTTTTGCGCGACCGGTGAAGATTTATTCTAACAATGCACGCCGCTGCTCTATTTTTATTACATCGTAGTAATTCGTGTTTATACACCAGTACACGATACATTCATGATCTACATATCCACGATTAATGGACTACACGTTTCAGACCACCGGCCGCGATGATATTAATCATCGCGATCAATGATTAAACACGTTTAAATTCAATCTACAAATGTAGCGCGAGACTCTACGTATTTCTTTATTGTATTTCCACTTAGTGCTGAAATAATTACGTCCTTTAAGAAGAGAGGAAGAAAGCAACTTTCACAAAATAACTAAATAAAAGAGCAAGACAGTACGTCTGTCTTTCTAAATTATAATGAGATGACTATCTCTCGATAAGAGCTTAGATTATACAAATAACATTAAAATGAATTTTACCAACGATAAGCGTAAACGATAAATTAAAATAGATCAATTATAATTATTCTCGTGTTATTAAAATGTATAAAGGCCACTGATAACGTATTATCCAATCGTATTCTAAGAATATACACTTAGGTCTCGGCATCAATTTCCTGCGCGGATCCAATCCTACACCTGTCGTGTACGTGTGATTCCACACGCCACACGGGAGCGTTCGGCATAGGCGTCTCGTCAGTAGCGTTAGCGTATAATTGGAAAATCGTTAGTATCGCGACGTAGAGATCTCGTTCTCTAAACTAGGCGGACACGCTAATTCAGCGTCGAAACCGAATCGAGCGATCGAACCGAGCCGGGGCAGGTCGGTTATAGGCAGAGCGTGGCTCCCCCCCTGCTCGATGAAACGATATATCCGATAATTCCTGTTTCGAGACACTTTCGTCTCGGCTCGCCTACGCTGCCCACGAACTGTCGTTCGTGTCATTCTAAAAGTGCGCGCAACGGGGGCGAGAGCGCGAGTTATCGACGCAACACTTTCGGCGGAAGGGTCGGAATCGACAAAACAATTTTGTGCCGGCGCTACCATTATTGGTACGGTGCGCGGACGAAAAAAATGGGCAAACAGCTATCGGATATTATCGCCGTAAGTGATATAAATTAGCGTCATCGTGGAGCGTCACGTTCGTGTCTCTACCGCAAGCGAGAGCGCGCGGATCGATTGTTGCGACGCTTAATTTTCAACGAAGCGTTATACCGTTTCTCAATAACTTCCATCCTGACTAACAATGGCGTGAATATTACAGCACGTACTATCGAAACGCTTATCGCGTATCAATCGATTGTAAATTGCTAGCTCGTAAGCTTACTTAAAAAAACTTTAGAAAGTAACAGACAAATATATTGCTCGTTGTTACACCGTGCCCTAAAAATAATCAAGGGCGCAACTGTCGCGGCCCTTTTGACGCAATTCCAGTTTGTTTGGGATTAATAAGATTGATGAAAAAGAGTTGAATGTAAAAGTATTCATATTTTTCGTGATATGTTTGAACGTTACCGCGTTAAAAATATATTTTTTGGTAAAGGTACTAATTGTGCAAAATATAATTAGGATGGTTTAATACACGTCATAATGCAACGTTGGTCGATAAAAAGTTTGCTTCGGTCTCTAGGACATGTATTTCTATCCAGAAAATAATTTTCATTAAATTTTATGAATCAAATAACACGTAATCTTATCGAAAGTGGAAACGTCTGACAAAAGAAATTACATCCAAGTGGAAAATAAACGCATATAGAATGTTAAGTCATTCTTATCTGATTCCAAACTATAACAAGCCTGAATAACCCTGTCAAGCTTAATATGCAAGATGTTGGATTAATTGTCGGCGTTTATTCCCGAGGATTTACGTTGATCGTTTTCGAAGGAAATTATCAAGAGGCCAGGTGGACCAACCGCGAGAGAAATGCGCTGAGAAAGAGACGGAGGCTGCTTAGCCGAGACCCAATCTTGTCCCGCTAATCGAATTATCATTAATTATGATACCGTGCGCGCGAGAAGAAAGAAGAGGTAAAAGGCGAGGGCCAGCCGCCACTAATAAGTATGAAGGAGCGCAAGGAGAGACGACGAGAGGAGGACAGAAAAAGAGAGAAAAATGAGAGAAGAGGAGAGATAGGTGGAAGCGGCTTTAAGTCGCTTCTTAAGAGGTGAATTGACGTGCCTACTAATGGATCGTGCCTGCCTCATCTTCTTTCCTCCCCGCGCCCCTTCCTCCTTCTCCTCGTCTATCGCTCTTGTAGTTTTAACACGGGACTAACAGGTCTGTTATCCTCAGCGGGAATCGGTCGTCTACCGTGCGGCCGCGATTGATCGAAATTAACTCGCTGGAATAACGAATGGCCGTTGTCGCGACGTGCGCGCGAGCGCGATACGCGTTATTTGTACACGTGTCACCGTGCTACATTGTGAATTTGGTATTTGCCAGTCTCCCGTTTTAGCTCCCGGTCTCCCGAAATAAAGTCAAATTGCATTAAGCACAAATTGCCGTCCAAGTTAAACGGCGAGGAGCGATCGGCATTAATGCAAGATGATTGCTACCATATTGTTCACGTATGTTTTACAACTGTGTTATTTTACTGTCTAATTTACAACAGCCAATAGCTAATATATAAAAGTAATATTTAGCGAATATTATCGTTTGTAGAATCGATAATGCGAATTTTGCTAAAAAAGTTTGAGGAACTGATGTTCTCGATGAATATGTAATCTAACGACTCCCTCATGAAGATAACTTGTATTTTTCATTCATTTTAAATCGATGAAATTTTCCACATTTTCTTTTATTTTTCATAACACACTGTTCTATGTAACTATTGTTCGACAGTTAAACTGCTGACCGAAATCATGTACACCAATTCCTACATGTATGTACACTAATGCCCCAGTGGGTATTACCTCATCTTATTATCTTATTTTATCTTACCTTATCTTTCTAATGCCCTAGCAAGACCTAATGCCCCAAAAATGCCTAGTAACGCCCAGTAATGCTGTAAATCTGTACCCCACAATTCCCTCAAGGGTTTACTCCTCGCTATTGTTCTTAAAATAAAAATCAACGCATAATAATCACATTACTGCCACGCATGGGAGAGCGAGAGGGGGGGGGGGAGAGAGAGAGAGAGAGAGAGAGACAGGGAGAGACGCGAAGAAACGCGGAGAGACAGAGAGAGACAGAGAGTTTTTCTTTTTATTTCAATCGGAGTGCTCACTGTTCGTAAATAATTGTCCGCTTTTACGTGTAATTCATCGTAATCATTA